ACTTGTTAGATAGTAGACACTTATTTTTGGTGATGGGAAAGGCTATATACCAAATATAGGTGAAGTCAGCAGAACCTGACCAAGGTAAGTAAGACACTAAACAGTACACAAGAAAAAGAGATAACTTCCGTAAATGCTGTATCATACACAATTTTGCAACAACAGTAACACTAACCAAAAAAATGTGAGTGGTTATGTAGGTAGATATGTGTGCATATATGTGTATACGAAGGCATATGCAAGTAAATGCATGTGCACGTATAGGTGTATCTGTAGGCGTATGTATATACATAATTATGTGTGCTGCATATATATCCATATATACAACAAAGCACATAGGGGGCACAGTTACAGAGGCTTCCTAAACATAACCAAATAACTTGCAGGATTGGTTTACTGGGTTAGAAGGCTTAGGACCATAGTCTCAAGGGACAACTTCGTCAATTGCCATAATTTAGTTCATAAAGCTAATTACATCCTAGTTTAGTGAATAGCATCTGGGGTCTTAAAAGTTTGTGAGCAGCCATCTAAAATACCACTGTTGGTCTCTACTTGTACGGAGCAAAAGAGAATGAAGGAAAGGAAAGATCCAAAGAAGAAACTAGTCCACAGGCCTAACAGCCCACACAAACCATGGCCTCTTCTAATCGGAGACCAGAAGAATGAGATGGTGCCCAGCTACCACTATGGACCGTTCTGACCAGGGACACAACAGAAGTTCCCAGATAGAATGGGAGAAAAATGTGTAACAAAATGCAAATTCCTAAAAATGGCCACAGCTATGGGCCCATAGAGAGTACAGGAACCCTGAAAGAGACTATCACCCTAAGACACCCTTGAACTTGGAACTGAAGCTACTTCTGAAGGTCACCTTTCAGCCAAGATTGGCTTATAAAATAAACAATATCACCGGTGAGTAATGTGCTCCCTTAAACAATCAACTATATGCGACCAAACAGTCAACATTTACCCAAAAGTAAAGATGAGAAGGCAAGGAGGGGAAGGGAAGCTAAATCAATGGAAACAGAACAAACAGAATGGAAATGAGAATGCTGACACACCACGTAAATTGTAACCAATGTCACAGAACAATCTGTATAAAAACTGTTAAAAGGGAACCTAAATTGCTAAGTACACTTTCACCTAAAACACAATAAAATACTATTTTTTTAAAAAAACCTCTAATGTGCACATAAAAATCACATGGGGATCCTGTTAAAATGTAGATTTTGATTCAGTAGGTCTGGGTTGGGGCCTAAAATTCTGCATTTCCAACTATCTGACCCACAGGCCACACTTTGAGTAATCAGACTCTTGGCCATTTTTGCATGATTATGAAATGGCTGCTATAGCTCCAGCTATCACATTTTGCAGTCAAGGCAGGAGGAGACAGAGGAGAAGGTTATGCTAGTCATATCTGCTCCTTTTACCAAGGACAAATAAAGCTTTCTCATGCACCACAGAGCAGAGAAAGAAGGAAAAAAAAAAAAGGACAAAAACAGTTTCATAATCACCATTTGTCCAAAGTCAAGTCTCTGAGCTAAAACACTACTTTTCAAATTTCTCTATTTATAGCATAACTTTTGAAAAAGTTGATAAATTTTTTTCATATGCCAATACTACTACTATTTTACAATATTTGTGAGAAATTAACAATTTTCAAAGCCGCACATTAACCAAAACATAGATATTAATGATTCTGGTGAATGGTTACATGAAGGTTCATTATACTGTTCTCTCCATTTTTATGTTTGAAACTTTCATAACAAAAAGTCTAAAAAAATCTGCTGACAGATATATCTTAAATTTTATCCGCAGTTAAGGCTGACAACTTGAAACAAAATTCTAGCAGGTAAAAACTTTTCAAATAATGTTCTCTGAATTCTTGACAGACCGATGGAATTCAGCTGTATACATAAGTCTGTCATTTCAAAGGAACAAGATGTTCATTAAATGGAAAAAGCAGTCCTTCTGTCAATGTTGGCTGATGTTGGACGTATGTCATTTTTCTCTTCAATACACTTATGTTTTTGTTGAAGAAAAATACATAGGCTGTATAAATGTATGGTTTGGGTTAGCATACATTTACAATTCTGCAAAATAAATGTCTATCCCCAATATCCATCAAGAAGATAGCACAGGACGGGGCAACATTTCATTCTGTTGTATTATAAGGTGGCCGTGAGTCAGAGCAGACTCCACAGCAACTAACACCACCAACAATCCCCGATATCAGTGATTAATTTGTTGAACTGGATGGTTAGTCTTCCACTTATTTCAAATATCAGCCACTCTAGTAATTAATTAACGAAACAACTTTCTCATGTAGATGCAAAAAAATTAGATTTAAAAAAAATGAACCAATGATTGTAAGTGTATAATTTACGTTATCCATAAATTATACCTCACCCTAAATTGGAAATGAGACATATTTTAAATTATATAATAAGAGGGAAAAAGTCTAATGTTTTTCATTATCACAAGTTAAGCTGTGATTTAAATGGATTTAATGTAAATCAAACAATCTACTAGGGCTACCGCGGTACTCAAACTAACGGAGAGCCACAGATTCACCCCTTACCCATGATCAACAGTTTCTATGATTTACAAGCACCAACCTTCCTCTCTATGATAAATAGCACCACCCAGAAACAACAACCGGGTTTGCCTCCTCCTCTTCTTCGACTGGGAAGTTCCAGAACAGTAAAGACTTTACATGTCTGTGCAAAACCTCACACGCTGTGTACAAAGCTCTTTTAAACAGGAATAATCACCACCTTCAATTCCCAGAAGTTATTGCTAGACATCAGCCTAATTCCTAGGTGACATGCATTAAAATCATAAAACAAAGCAGAGTTTCCTCACTGGCAATTCTGTTTCTTCTAACTGAAACACGTTGGCAAGAAATTTTCATGAGCAGCAGCATACATACATACAGAGACAAAAGACTGTGAACAGTTCTAATTCCTAACCAAGGTATTTCACTTTTTTCAGATAACAAGATCATTCTCTTCATCTTCAATACACATTTCTTTAGTTTTTTTTCTCTTCATTAAAATAAAACTGGTTAGGTGCCATTGAGTCGGTTCCGACTCATAGCAACCCTATGCACAACAAAACAAAACACTGCCCGGTCCTGCACCATCCTCACAATCGTTATGTTTGAGCCCACTGTTGCAGCCACTGTGTCACTCCATCTTGTTGAGGGTCTTTCTCTCTTTTGCTGACCCTCTACTTTATGAAGCATGATGTCCTTCTTCAGAGACTGATCCCTCCTGATAAAATGTCCAAAGTATGTGAGACGAAGTCTTGCCATCCTTGCTTCTAATGAGCATTCTGGCTGTACTTCTTCCAAGACAGATTTGTTCGTTCTTCTGCCAGTCAATGGTGTATTCAATATTCTTCACCAACACCATAATTCAAAGGCATCAATTCTTCTTCAGTCTTCCTTATTCATTGTCCAGCTTTCACGTGCACATGAGGCGACTGAAAATACCAGGGCTTGAGTCAGGCAAACCTTACTCCTCAAAGTGACATCTTTGCTTTTTAACACTTTAAAGAGGTCTTTTGCAACAGACTCGCCCAAATAAAACTTACATACCATAAAATGCACGAACCTTAAGCATTCACTTCACTAAGTTTGAGTAAATGTATACATCAACAACTGGTTAATCTGAATAAAGGTATAAGGAAATTACTTGTACTAGTCTTACAACTTTTTATTAAAAGTCATATTAAAATTAAGTTACTCTAAAAGCATACTCTTGAATTACTATCACTCAAATCAAGCTATAGAATATTTCCATCACTCCACAACTTTCCTTTGTGCCCCTTTCTAGTCAATCAGAATCCCTCCCAAGAGGCAACGGCTGTCCTGATTTCTATCACCATATCTTACTTTTGCCTGTTCTTGTATTTTATATAAATGTGTGGTGTAGTGAATCACTTAGTATGGCCCTTCTAGCCTTAGTCTTTGTAACTCCCAGCAAATCACTGGATGGGACTATGCAAATGAGGTACTTGTGGCACACCAAGAGGACTGGATAGCTTGCTACTAATGTAAATAGGGTGTGTGCCACCTTTGTAGGGGTGGGACCATGCAAATAAGATGTATGAAACCCTAACAAGGGGATTGGTCAGTTTTGCCATCCCACTAGGCTTAAAATAAGCCATCCCAGAGGCAGGAAGGGAGAATCTCACCACCATCAAGAAAGAAGAGCCAGGAGTGGAACGTGGCCTTTGGACCTGGGATCCCTGCATTGAGAAGCTCCTGGAACCAGGAGAACAAGAGAGAGAGCTTTAACACTGAAGATGGCATGAGGTGGCAGCAGAGAAATGGCAGCATCAGAGGCAGGAGACTGGCAGGAGATGGCGAGATGGGCTTCCTAGCCCACAGAGTGAGAAAGCTGAGCACCTTCAGGCAGAAGGCTTGCTGGCAGAGTACTGTGCCTCCGGGCACTTGGTGGAGCTAGGTTTGCCAACCCACAGAGCTAGAGCCAAGCGCCTTTAGGCCAAGGCTTACTGGCAGAGTGAGGTGCCTCTGGGTACTTATCAGCAGAGCTAAAAGAGCTTTGTAACACTTGCCCCAGCAGGGCAGAGGCCAGGTCACGGGCCGAGGGCGAGAGAGAGACCTGTCTGCAGGCATGGCTGAGAAGAGGCTGTCCTGATTGAAGAACTTTATCCTGAGCGTCCCTGAACCTGGATGGTAATCTGTTACTTCCCTAATAAACCCCATAACTGTGAGTATGGTCTGTGAGTTCTGTGTGGTCACTGCAAGGAATTATCGAACCGAGCAGAGAAGTAGAGAGTGCCGTAGTAGGGACAGTTGGTGTCAGAACTGGTAAAAAGTTTGGAGGGTGGAGGCATGCCTGACCTCCACCTCACAGGAAATCAGCCTTGGGCTGTTGATCTTGATTCTCCTTCCTCTTTGTGAAGTCAAAGGAGCTCAGATGTCCCTGCCATGCCATTCTTACAAATGACATCATATGGTACATACTCACTTGTGTCTGGCTTCTCTAGTTCTGCATAATAGTTGAGATACGTGTATGTTGTTGTGTGATCAGTTGTTCATTCCTATTGCGGACAAGGCTGCTATGAACATTCTTATATCAGTCTTTTTGTAGACATATACTTTCATTCCTCTTGGTGCAATAAGATTTTCATTTTTAAAAAAGATTTCACATATAAATAAATCTGGGAAATGCAGGATAGCTGAATAGATTAATCTACACACATATACATATAGCAATTATACATACAATCATATACAATGTAAAAGATATATGTATGTATCTTCTGGAGATTGAACAGATTCAAGAAGTTAATCTAGGATCAACACAGATTTTTTTTTAAAAACTTATGAAGTTCATAGTGAAAATAAATCCAAGATAGGAATGATAGCCTCAATTTTTCTTAGTATTATGTTTTAACCTAAGAATAACTCAAGAGAAACAAATTTCTCTCCATGTAAATTACCCTGTTCTGCTTCAATGAAACACCTTCTTTTTATAGTAAATATCCCTTCCCAAACCAGAATTTCAAAACATTATAAAAAGAAAAAAAAAAACTGTTACTATATTCCACCATATAATAATTTTTTATGCTGGGGCAAAAAACAAAATATGTGTTAAGATTACAGGATTGTTTTATTGTCTTGGTTTTTTAAAAAGTTAAACATGGAAATAATTTCACTGGTTAATATTTAACATGGGCAAAGAACATTCCAGCCTCATTCAGAATATATTCTGATAAAGACTCACTCTGTCTATGACAGAGACATTTTGACTTTCAAATTCCACTGTGTAATTTTTAGCTGATAGTAAAGGAGGGTCTTTAATTTCCAGAGATAGGAACACTGAGAAACACACACACAAATCTAGTATTTTAAGAGATCAGTTTGAAATTTGCCACTCTGCTTTTGACAATCAGATGAGCATTTCCAGGGGACTAGAAGTGGCTCCTTGGTTATCATCTATAAATAGCCAAGACTGAGGTAGAATGGTACAAATGGTTCTAGAAATTTACCATTGCCTTCATTAGAAAGGGTTTGCAACTACAAAAGGGAAGACACCTCATTTATTCTTTAGTCTTTCTTCACCTTTTATTCCTCCCTCCAAAAAATAAGCAATTTCAAAAACATAATCAAATACACTACATTCTTAATGGTTAGCTGCCAAGCGCTTTAATCACTGCGCCACCAGGGCTCCCTTAAAGCCCTAACATCTGGCTATGCCCTAACTTTTACAAATGCAAAAATTTTTTTTATTCCCTAAATTTTACAAATCTTAACCTTGTTGTTGTTGTTGTTGTTAGGTGCCATTGAGTCACTTTTGACTCATAGCGACCCTATGCACAACAGAACAAAACACTGCCTGGTCCTGTGCCATCCTCACAATCGTTGTTATGCTTGAGTCCACTGTTGCTGCCACCATGTCAAATCACCTCTTTGAGGGTTTTCCTCTTTTTCACTGACCCTCTACTTTACCAAGCACGATATCGTTCTCCAGGGACTGATTCCTCCTGATAACATGTCCAAAGTATGTGAGATGAAGTCTTGGCATCTTTGCTTCTAAGGAGCATTCTGGCTGTACTTCTTCCAAGACAGATTTGTTCGTTCTTCTGGCAGTCCACGGTATATTCCACAGTATATAAATTTTACAAATCTTAACCCTAGCATCTGGATTAGCATTCCCTAAGTTTTACAAATGTATGACTGTTTACTTAAAATCCCATTATTTCACTCTGAAAATACACCGTTTTATTTTTCAAATAATCACACCTTTTTCTAAAAGAAGAAGAAGAAAATAGCCTTGATTAAGTAAATGTTACAAAAGATGACAGCACATCCAAACAGCTACACTCCCCAACTTTTCAATATCTTTTACCTGCTTGTTTTAACAGAACCAAAATAAAATTTTATTTTTATTTTTTAAATGATATTCTTCCAGATCAAGGGCAGAAAACAGGTACACCAAATGTGTAGACCCCACACTCCCTCTGGTGGTCCTTTACTCTCTTTAACCAAATATTTTCCAAAAGACTAGAAGTAAATATTTAATTAAGCATAAAAAGGACCTGCCTCACTTAAGGATTTGAGACTTACATGTTTAAATTGCAGCCAAACGCAGGTCAACTCTCACTATAACAAACTGTAAGATGTATGAATTATTTTGCAGTACTGGAATTTTAAATATTGCTAAAATATCCTTAGTAACCCATTAGCTACAAAGATTACATTTACAAGGGTACATATGGCCCTATTATATATTATTTTAACCTGTTTCATTTGGTAAAATTATACTTTTGCACAGTAATTAAACATCCTATTTGCAAATTAAATCACACATAAGTGGTTATTGTTTTTAAAACAATAGTTATGTGATTTACATACCACTGTCCAACAAGTCTCTGATGCATATAGATTTAATTTTCTTTTCACTTTTAGGGATATAATATCAGAAGTTAAAAACCAAAAACCCAGTCCGTTGCCGTCAGGTCAATTCTGACTCACAGCAACTCCACAGGACAGAGTAGAACTGCCCCATAGGGTTTCCAAGGAGTGGCAAGATACACTAAAAATGTGCTATAAAAAGTTAGAAATATAAAATGCTGAAAAAACAAAATCTAATTACTAATCAGCTAGGTTAGAAAGTTTAAATCGTTTCAGAAGTATAAAATGCACTTAATTAATTGTTTGGCATAAATAATTACAGATTTAGTGTGCCAGAATATGCAGAATATAGGTTCTTCCTTAGTAATTGTGAAAAATTATATTAAGGGTCTATAGAGGATACCCTTAATGCCAGGTACAACAAGCATATTACTGTTAAATAAAGCAGTATTAATGTCTGAAACAGTATCATTTGATATTCTTGTAATTTAGCTGTTTTAATATAAGTTCTTGTTTTTTGTAGCTTTATTCATTCAAAATTATTTACACACCCCCAGCTCGAAAGAAGGCATATCTGAGGGTAAACATTCCCAATGTTTATTGCATAGATGTGAGAATTCAAGTTATGATTAATTTTGAAACTGAAATGTAGCTGATAATTTGATAACATAGTCTACCACAAATTAAAGTGGACAAAATTCAGTAATTAAATGATCTGAAAACTGAATTTTAAGATGAGCCTTTAATTAAAAGATACTTTTATATTTAAATCATCTAAAATATGTCTTTGTGTAAATAATTCTACAAAATATAACTTTAACTTATGATATTTAATTATTCATCACAGGACAAGGATTGTAAACTTCTATTACACTTAGCAGTATTTAAAGTAACATACTCCTATACACTTTAAAGAACAATTATATAAATCTCTAAAAACAACTAGAGCCCCAGTCTTATAAGCTTCTTTACAACTGTTTATACAGAATAGAACCCAGTCTACATAAGGAGTAACTATTCAATCAATGTATCCTCACTAAATATTAAAAAGCCAACTCAGCTTTTAATAACAGTACTTTCTTCTACAGCTATAGAAAGAAATGTCTGCTTTTCTTTGGACTAAATCACTCTAAACTGAGAAGTCTTTAGGAAAAAAATCAAAAATATGTAATCTATTCCAATCCAAGAATAAACAGAAAATTGAAGATTTAATTGTTTAATCCAATATTTTAAGCTTTTCATTTTTGAACTGGTTAAAATTGTTTTGAAAAAGAAATTTACCCCAAACTCCCATAACTAAGTGTTGGAAAGAGAAAGACCTCACAATATATAAGCCTGGTGTTTTAGAGAAATAAGACATTTGAAAGACCATCTTTGATACATACTTTTTTAAATCTCAGTCAGGAATAACCTGGTGGCTAAAGTATTCACCTTTCAATGATGTTACTAGGTAAACAGGTAAATTACCATTCAAAATGAAACACTAAAAAGTAGCATAACTAATCTAAATCAAAATTAGTAACTTTGTTCCTAAGAAGTTAAATCTCTCAAGTGTAAATCATATCCAATAGGATGTCAAACAAGACACACAGGAAGAAAAAAAACTGAGTAAACTAAATTACGTGTTTCTCAGGAATGACGAGTGTTATTAATAACCCAAGTTTTAAAAATATATTATTTCTATAGATATCCTAAACTGGTCAAGGCCATAATTGCAGATTGTTAGGCAGAAGTCAGCTGGGAAAGAGACAAACAGAAAATGATAAATGCGAGAATGACAGAAAAAAAAAAATTCTGCCAGAATAAGAATTTTTTGAAGTCTATCCTTGCGTTTTGATTCAAACCCCAAGAGAAGCAGCTACTAGAATCCTCTAAAGTAAAATTATTCATGGGGGGGTGGGGGGGATGGGAATGGAACTCCCACAGACTTAAAAATACTTAACCAAAATATGCCTTAACTTTTTCCCTGTCCACAATCTAACAAAATGCAAAGACAATAAAAATAAATACTCCTGTATGAGTCTACCCTCAGAAAGGCAAAGAAAGCTCCTGTTCAATGCTAAACCTTATTCCACTGGAAAACATACTCCTGAAAAGTAAATCCAAAACCACGAGCTCAAACTGCTTCATGCAGAATTTACTGAATGGCGGCCAAACGCTGTACACACTGTTCTGAACCACACGGAAGGCTATCTAGAGCTCTGCATTCTCCACTTACGACTTGTACCTTACTATGCTTTCACCCCAGCTGCAGAAACCGATTTTTGAAATGAGACTAAATTGTTCCTCCTGGCTTAGTCGAAAAGGCAGTCTACACCTTGACCCTCAAATTGTTTTTTTCAATCCTGGTTTTGATTCATATACTTTTTGCCACCACATCTTGAGATGATCGATAAGGTAGAAGGCGTTAGTGCCAGAGCTGAATAGAATAAGGAATCCTAAAACAACTTTTAATTGGCTTTCATCTGATGCTGTTGTTGGTGCCCGTTTAATCGATTTCAACTCATAGCGACCCTGCTGACAGAGCAGAACTGCCCCTGGGGTTTTCTAAACTGTAATCTTTACGATGCAGATCGCCAGGTCTTTCTGCGCGAAGCCGCTGGGTGGGTTCGAACCGCCAACCTTTAGGGAGCAGCCCAGCGCTTAACTGAATCACTGGTTAAAACGGCACTGCACTGGCCCACTTCAACAAGTGGCGGTGAAGCAGGGATGCTGCTTCCAGCCACTACTCCCGGCGCGGCAGGTGAAGGCGGTGCACGCCCATCCACACCCATCGGGCGGGCTACACCGGGAGAGCGTGAACCGAAAGCGGAGGGCAGCAGCGGGGACACTCCGTTATCCTCACCCTCCACAAGCCCCACCAGGTGAGGAAGTCTCGATCGTGCCGGCCGAGCGCCCGGCACATTGCTCAACCCCGGGCTCCACTTCTCCCGCCGCCCGGGCCCCGGAAGGCGAAGTTTCTTTCTCGCTGGCGGCGGCGACTACTCACGCTCCTCCCGGCTCTGCAAGGAACCCGCCGCCGCCTCCCGGCGGCCGCGGCGCCGCTCCGCGGTCACTGGTCCGCCGGCCTTCGGGCAGTCGGGGGTCGCCGACAGAAGCGGGAGCCGGGACCTGTCAGCCCAGGCGGGAAACAAAAGCCGGGTGAGGACGAGCGGGCGCG